AGCGGGAATCACTGGTGGGATCCACGCAGCTCTGGAAACCCCAGAGGAAGTGATGGAAGAGACCTGTTGGTTTGTGCTCACCGTGCTTCCTGTGCCTGTAGGAAAAGGTGTTGCCCAAGCCCTGGCACGCTGGTCCCCCAGGCATCCATGGTGGCTCCTGAGCATTGCTGAGATTCCCTGTGTATTAATAACAAATTAGGGATATTTGATCCATGTTAACCTTGGGTTCATTAAGACCTCTGGTAAATCAGGCGTGAGTAAGGGATGTTGAGATAGGGGCTGCTGTTGTTTCCATTAACACCTTCTGCTCTCCTACATCCAGTGGGAGCCGTGTCCATCATCTCTCCACACATCACACATCTGTAATGGAGACTGGGCTGTAATTCACAGGGCTGAATATGACCCCACAGGGCACAGCACTGAGGACTACTCAAGGGAGGCTTGAGCTACCTTCTCCATTAGAGCCCAAGACTATGTTTCCACTCAAACATTTTCTCTGATCCTTCCTTGGAAAAAAAATTGGACATTTTTCTGAAACATGAATCCACCTCCAGAAAACAGAAATTCTGCCACAACTTCAACAAGCCCAACCCAGGGTTTGTAAAGAAGTTTTAGTTGCTTCAGTGAAAAGCTACATGGAAATGCAAGACAAAATAAGGGCAAAGCCATCTCATTTCTGGGCAATATCAAATATTTCATTCCTCTTTTGGGGCAGGACAATAGAGAAGGACAGAAACAAACCCCACGAGCACACACTGCCAAGCATAGACCTGCTGCCCTTCCCAGCAGGTGGGATGCAGCCCACAGACCTCCCCCACCCCACTCAGATTTATCCCAGCTGGGGATCTGTCCTGATGACCACAAACAAAACTATCAGGAAACATCTAAACTTCATGCAAACACATTCTGCTCCCTCTGGAGAGGATCTGAGCCATCTCTCAAACCTGAGTTCAGCTGTGGGAGCTTTGCCCAGGATGGAGACAAGATGAATTATTAATAAATTAGCCAGTTATTACCAGATTGGGTGTGCCTTGCATTAAAAACAACCAATCCCCCGCACCTGAAAGAGGAGGTATCTCCCAGACCTTGACTGAAGTCCAGGTGTATGGAGGTGTCAGTGGAGCAGGTTCTGGTTGTGAAAGATTCTGGTCATCAAGTTAATCTGTTGTCATCAGCTCCTGGGGCTGATTTCTGAAAGGGTATAAAAGCCTCTCATTGGGGAGGTTCATTGAGTGGCTTCTTTTTCTCTTCCTCTAGCAGCTGCAGGTATCAGGTGAGTTCTTCTGTGCATGTTTAGCTCTAGGTGGGAGTTTTTGCTGCTGTGTTCTTGGGGCATAGGGTGATTTTTATATTTTTCCCCCCCTCTATTTTGTTTTTCTGTTATTTCAGCTCCCTGTAGATGAAAGCCATGTTATATTATTTTGGGTCTTTCTGAGGCTCCAGGCAGTGGCTCGCTGACTCCCTGGATCAGCAAACTGTTGTCAGCTCTCATAATTTCTTTTCAACTGATAAGAACGCTTGTGGATAACCATTGAGCATTGAATATCAGGTGAATATCATTGAATAAAGGTTGGCATCCACTAGCAGCTCATTTGGCATCCATCGAGCAGCCATGGGCTGATCACTTCAGTCTCCTGGATCTCCAGGGCTCCAAGTTTCATTTCTTTATATAAAGCTGTATCACAACTGAGCAGGGAGACAGTTCAACACCAGAGAATGTGGCTCCTGCTCTAAGGCTCTCAATGAATTAAGCAGAGATGTGGCTGTTGTTGGAAGAGATTGTTATCAAATGATTTTTTTTCTCTTTCAAACCCCTTCTCAATACTGAGAAGTCACCAGCTTTCTGCTCCTCTTTGGCTGGTTTTAAATATTGCTCTGAGGTTCTCCTTGAACTAAATGCATTTCATTAACGCTTCTCTTGCTCCTTATCTTGTCAAAGCTGAAATGTTTGAAAACAGTGAGCAGAAGGAAAGAAGGAAAACACCTTTCATTGTTTTTCCCTCTACCTCTGTAGCCTGTCACCTGTTTGGAACATGACTTTTCAAGATGGTTCTTGCCTCTTATATTCATTTATGCTTGTCTACAGTTATGCCCTAGAGCCTCAGAGTGGCTGATCTCCATAGAGGCTCCCTGTGATGGGAGCCAAGAGAAGGAATATGAGGCAGCTACAGCAAACTGGAGTCGCCAACACAGATTTGATCTAATCAGCATCATTATCAAGGATTTCCAAGGGTGGGGTGTGTGTGGTTTTGCTTATAGGAATAACTTTTACAGGCTCTTCACTGTTGATGTCAAAACTGACAAATTATATTCAGAAAGGAGAAGTGTGTAGGGCTTAAAGTGACTGAGATGACACCTTGGTTTTCTTCCAGGCTTAGCAAAGATGTCTTCCCACCAGCAGAAACAGCAGCAGCAAATACCTTCAAAATGCCAGGAGAAGTGTGCTCCCAAGACCGTGGAGCAGTGCCAGGCCCCCAAGGGGCAAGCCAAGTGTCCTGTGAAGAGCATCCCCCAACAGCAGCAGCAGCAGCAATGCCCAAAGCAGAAGTAGCACCAGCAGCAACGGCCACAGAGTCCTGGGGAAGATGCACGTGCTCATTTCCAAGCTCTCCTCCTGTCTGGCTCTGCCAGACTAGCTGGAAATTTGCAGCACGACATCGTTGTTTGCAAGCAGAAATTGCCTTACAAAGAGCTGCAGTTCATTAACCTGAATTTTATTCATCCTCCAATATTAAAAAAATAAATTGTGGGGCCATTTTCTTCTGATCTTTAATTTGGCACATGCTACAATAAAATAAGTAACCTCATTATTTGCTTCCTGATGGTTTTCTTTCCACTTTACTAATTCATTTTGCTTTCTTTTATTAACCAGAGGATTGAATTTGAACATACACCCCTATATAAGGCACACAGGCACAGGGACTCATGTGCCTTTGCCTT